TGATGCCAGCATATGGGAAGTGCTAACAATGATTTTAGATTGCCCTTTTTATTTTGGAAAAGGTCGTTTTTATCCTGTGTCATTCACATTTGTAGGACTAATATGTACACATGCTTAAGGAGAGAGATGACAGATGATAGGATAGAAAGAGACGCTAGGAAGCGGATAGTGCAGCAGGACCATTAGTCACCTATGAATAAGGCAACACGCGATTCCCACACCGGCTGTAACATGAATCTAAGCAAACAATTTTATCGGATGTCTTAAAATATGAATAAGGAAGCATCAATTTCTGCTTCTAACCTTCTCATTATATGAGACTGTAGTGAGGACATAGTGATTATAGTGAAGATGATAAGGGTCTGTAAAATTTAGAGTTTGCTGCTAATAAAAATCATAATGACTGGTGACTTAAGATGTATTCAAAGTAATCCGCACAGAAAATAGCTTTTAAGCCGGAGCCAGGCTTCAACTAACCAGGTTAGTTGTACTAATAAAATTTAAGTTACTCAGTCTAATGTCTAGGTCACTTGTGTTTTCCTTTAAATTGTTTTTAATTGTAAAAAAACTTCATTTGCATTAAATTGATAAGTGTATTAGCATAATTGGAAACTTAGCCTTGGAATGTAGACTCCTAGAAGTGTTGTTTATCAAGTTTCCTACTAAATTACACCAACAAAATTCTGGGGTTTATTTTTTTCAAAAGATTCAGGAAAAATGACCATTTCCTTTCCCCTCCAGGGGTGAGTGGACCTAAGGTAAGCAGACCCAACCACAAGAAGGAAGTCGGTGCACACAACTGAGAGTGCCTGTCTCGGTCAGAGGGTGGAGTCTGGAGGAAAACACTCACTTTATCCACTTGGCCTTGCTCTGCTTTCAGATTCCCTTAGTTACCTTCCTGTAATTAATTGATTTTTCTTGCTACATCAATATTTGAAATGAAGGTGCCCTGGATAGAAAATATTGCTTGTTTGCTTACATGCCTGATTGACTTATTCATTCCACAAATATTTATTGAGTCTGCACTGCATGCCAGACACTATCCTGTGCCCTGAGGCTGTGCCAGTCAACAAACACAGACCCAACTTTCTGTCCCCAGAGAGCGTACAACCTGGTTAGAGGAGGCAATGAAAATCAAGCGCACACTGCCATGTGGTGGTAGGTGTCATAGCACAAAGATAGAGCTGGAAAAGACTGAGCTGGCACTCCTGTTAGAGCTGCTGATTTAAATATGGGGGTCACAAGGGTCTCACTGAGAAGCTCAATGAAAGGTGGAAGCAAAGGTATTGAATGTTAGAGAGAAAAGCCAGTGCAAAGCCCCAGATGCTGACATGGGTTTGGTGTGTCTGAGGAAGCCTGGGGTTCCGAGTACAGTGACAGGAGCACAAGCAGGACAGGAGGGACACTAAGGACCAGATTGTAACCTGAGCCTTTTCATGGCTGGGAAAAGACACTTCTTTCGTTTGGGAAATGGTGATTTAGGAGTCTGGTGTTAGGTTTATGCTTCTGCTTCCTTTGAATTTCGCTAGGATGTGTCTGTCACTAATGAGACTGAATGAACTTTCTTGGAGTTCTTCGGCACATTAACTTTTTTCCCTGAAGAGTTGAGGATTTGACTTGGAAACTTCGAGACTTCCCTAAAACGGTGCATTGTGGGAGATCCTTATTATTGCCCATATATTATCAACAGATGTTTGAAAGGTAAGCTCTGTACTATGTAATGTAAGTAATCACAGTTATTCACTGCTTTAAGGGCGACTTTATGCACATACTGAGAAGTGGGGTTTTACAGGTAGGAGAAGGTATTACGGACATAAAACTGTTAACGATAAAATGTACCTATGAGATTTGGAGTGAGATAGATATGGGCTTGAACCTCAATAGCTGTGGAAACTTAAAAAAATTTATTTACGTTATCTGGGAGTTTGTTTCCTTTATAACCAAAGAGGATGGTTATAAAAATTAAAAAAAAAAAAATGGATATAAGGATTACATGGAATACTGTGCCTGACAGGGCATTTGTTCCTCTTGCCTCCCCACTTCTCAATTTCTTTTCTGCACTGTATGATTCTGAATTGCTACCCACATCGAATCATAATGAAATCTTAATTAATCATCAATTTTGGCACTGTGGGTTTCTAACAGTGCTCCCCAACAGGGACCCAGGCTGCTGGGCAGAGGCTGAACCAATCCGTGGCCCATTTCTGCTGCATTTGCTCTCTGTATCTGCTTTCCCACCTCCTACAGAGCTGGGGAGGTGAAATAAAATGTTAAATGTAAAGCACCCAACATAGTGCTTGGCCCTTGTTAATCCTCACTGAATGTTTTTACGATTTCTTCTGCAGTTTTGGGAAAAATTTTCTGGGAATGTGTGCATGTGTGTGAATTACTTGTGCTATGAAAGATAAAATGGAACAAAACTATGTGATCAATAGTGGTTTTACTGATAACACTGGTGCAGTGCGAGGAGCTACCTTGGGGTCTGAATACTGGGCATCAGGTGAATTGAACTGGGTGCTGTGATAGCCAGTGGTATGTGTCAACTTGGGTGGACTACACAGTCATTTAACCAAACCCTGATTTAGGTGATGCTGTTAAAAGCATTTTGTAGATATGGTTAAAGCTGTGTTCAGTCGATTCTAAGTAAAGGAGAGTATCCTCATTAAAGCAGGTGGGCCTCACCCAATCAGTTGTATGACCTTGTGAGCAAAACTGAGGCCACACCACGGAAGAAGGGATTCAGCTTCAAGGTCGCAGAATCAGCTCCTGTCTGAGTTTCTAGTCTGTCCTTCAGACTCGGCACTTGCTCCCCTACCACCATTATACACATCCTACCGTTGAAATAAATCTATATGTGCACACATCTGCATATGCAAATTACTTCTGCTTGTTCTGGTTCTGTTCCTCTGGAGAACCTTCGCTGGTACAGGTGTGTCTGAGCGCTTATTTATTCCTCTTTTTTCTTTTGTTAACAATTCTTTATGATGCCTCATCTGCATAATATGCTTTTATGCAAATGAAACCTGAACAGCTCCATTTCTTTTAGATTTATGAAACTATCTTTTGGGTCCAGGTTAGACAATCTGATCCGCAGGTGGGATTCATCTCCACCCTGGCGAGGGCTGGTGTGGCCTAACCTATGAGGTTCACAGGGCACATCAGCTGGGCGCTAGGTGGACAACAGAATGAACATAAATACCAAATGGATGGTTTGTCTCCGAAAATAAGATATATCAAGAGGTCACAGAGTTGAATCTGGTTGGCTTGCTACTCTCTAGGTATAAATTTAGAGCATAAGTAGGACACAAAAACTCCATTGTCTGAGGGAAAATATATTTGTGCAATGATAGCTCTGCAATTTCTAGAATGAATGCACAGGAGGACAAATTACCACGAGGACAAACATTACAGAGAATATAAATCTGCTTTCATTTTTGCCAGCCTGTCCATAATTGTATGGAAATAAACCGCGGGTGAAAAGTGAGATAAAAACCATGACATCATCTGAATTAAGTGTCACTGTTCTGAGCTAAAAATTTGGGTGGGCTCCAACTTTCATTTTCTTCCCTCTGTATTAATTTTCTCACCTTTTTTTTTTTTCATTGTAAAGCTTTCCTCACAGTAACTTCAGAAGTGGGAAAAAAAAAAAAAACCCTCTCACTGCATTTCTGATTTATCATTTTCTTGCTGTACATGTCCTTGGGTATTTTTCAGATTCTTATAACTTCCAACAAGTGTGGTAATCAGATACTTATAAGCAATGATGGGGCAAATCTTATTTCTAGAAGAGCATCAACCAGGAGCATAAATCAGCAACAACATGCTAAGAACTACCTCCCCTGAGATGACTAGGAAGGCTTTGGATAGTGAGACACTGGCACTCCAAAGAGGCAGCCAGTGGCCAGGATGGAGAGTTTCTCAGGGGGTGGCTCTGTGTTCTGAGCGAGGCAAGCTATCTACCCACAACAACAGAGCCACCCCAAACCGGAAGTGCAACGTCAAAAACGCCCTACCCACCACAGCACCATTTGGTAACTCTTGAAATATTCCATTTTTCAGAACTGTCACATTGCTTTATTTTTTTGCCTTTCTGCAGTCTTCACTTGGCTTCTCTTTACTTCTTTCTTACTTTTTTGTGTTCTCCATAATCATTCTTTTCATTTGCTTTATTTTCATGTCTGAGGTGAGTTTCCCAAATTTCTTTTGCTTCTTCTCCTTTTCCCATTTTTGTCCCTTGCTTTTCACCAATTCTTTGAATTTCTTTCCCTTATTCCTAATTTTTCCTCCCCTACTGATTTGCTGTGGCTTTAATCGTTGCTTAGGGGCTTAAAATCATCCAGTGACTGACATTTTCTCATTGAAAGGAGAGGGATTTGTGACTGAAGAAAACTAGCTACAAAGACCCAACACATTCAATTTACAGTGCAGTTCTTTCCTTTTCTTCATGGAGCTTTGCCTGGGATTAGAGATGGCCTGCTTGCTGCCGCTCACAATGGCGAAGCACCTCAGGCCTGACTTCTCAGCCCTTCAAGTCACGTGACAAGTTGTGTCTGAGTTACTGTGTTTACACTGGTGGCTAGAACTTTAAAATTGTCTTTCACTGGAAAAAAGCTTAGTCAAGCCTGCCTGAAAAAACAAAAGTGCTATTTTATACTATGATGACCCAGACTTTTCTCAGCCCATCCATTCTTACCCTTACCCTCACCCCCTTATTTTTTATGGCTTGAAATGTAAGCTTCTGTGGGAAGAGTGCAGGGCCTTTGGGTTCCCCTGGCCGAAGGCTTGCTTAGCTCCACCAGAACTCTACAAAGAACAGTCAGATGGATCAACGCTTCAGGACTGTATGATCTTGTAGTTAGCATTAGAACATATCGTCGCAAAACACCAGATTTGACCCATAGATTTACATTACCTCTTTGTAACACCTAAATAGGGACTAGAAAATATTTTAATTTTACAAAATCATTCCTTTGATGAGTTTGGCTGTGAATTCACTTTACCTTTCTGTGTTTCCTGAGGACAGGAGCACACACCCCAGTGATGAAATGCTCAGAATAATTCTCTGTCATGCAGCAGGATCTGCGAGGACATAACCAAAGGATACTTGTGGTCAAAGCCATACCACATCCTGAAGAGCCGAGCGCTCTCTGCTTTGGTCACGTTTTTATCCAAGTTATTCACTTCCTGGAGAGAGACCATGGACAAAGGGTTGAATTAATAGTTAAACACATTTTGATATAAAAATACATGTTAAGTCAAATTATTATAGATAGCTAAGCTAGGTAGAAATATTACGGGCAGCCAGACAGGGCTGGGCCCTCAAAAGAAGTCAGTGAAGAAGATAAGAGCACATTACAACTATGACTGGATGTGCCTTTTTGAAGGCCAGGCCTCAAGATAAAAATGGAATGATTAGACCTACATACTTTTCCGAGGAGTAAACAATATGCTATACTCGATATGCTAAATAGGCATCAGTCATTTGGGTGAGTGACCAGGACCCCCTGACTCATCATTTCCAAAAAAGGTCTTTGTGCTTCCCATGCACACTTGCTATGTGACTTGCTTCCCCACTGGAGCAATACTACCTGACTATACTTGCAATCTTGTTGGTTGACCGTAATTTTGTCCCACATTATTCCCACCTCTTGATTTTGTACCCACCTTGTCATTTTGCTCTATAAAACTTCCTTGGTAAACTGGTGCCCATGGCAACCCGCTTTCTGGACCCCCTCTTGTTTCTCTCAGGAGCTGTCTTGCCCTCAATAAAATTTCCTACTCTTAACCTCTATTCCTGAGAATTCATTCTTTGATTTTGGGGAACACAAAGTTGGAATATAAGATATCTAGCAGGTTGGGAATTACATTTATTTTTCCTATACTATTTGGAACTCCTATATCAAAATTAGGTTTAACTACAATAAAAAATATCTTTCTGAGTACTATATAAGCATTGCCATCTAAATGGTGAAACAGTTGCCGAACAAATTAGCTCAAGGATCTTGCTGTGCGGAGGAGATTCTTTTGTCGTAATTCAAACATTTGCTTTCATTAATAATTTTATTGAATAGCTAAGAAATGCCACTTTTCACATCAATAGAAATGGTATTTCTGTCAGACTGATGTGGGAATTTTGCAATTTAATTCTGTAAAATTTGGATGACATTTATTTATGGATTAGTGAAAGGTCACAGAAATAATAACAGTCTAATAATTGTTATTCTAGTTCTCCCTCATTTTCTTTTGGATAGGGCTATGGTTGACTTTGGTATCTCTTTGCCTAGATTACGAAGAGTTTTCAAAGAGATATTCCTGATGGGAAGCCTGCAATGAGCAAATGTATCTCTCTCTCTCTCACACACACACACACACACACACACACACACACACAGGAGCCTTAAAAGGAAGGGGGAGGAGGAGGAATTAAAAACAAAGAGAGTAGAGAATTTAAATGTAAAAAAAGGAGAAAGAGGTGAATAATTATGGAGAGCGTTAGAGAGAAATGATAAAACAATTTGAAGTGTGGGACGAGTTTTCAGTAGCATTTTCTAACTTTCTGTGTCTTATTTTGCATATTAAGAAAAGTAAATTTCAGTCAACTCCAATCATAATTATCTCCATTGTGAAAAGCATTTACATCTTAATGTGGATTTTTGCTTTGTCTGAATCTACAGGGTTCATTCCTACATTACACCAGGAGCTTACAGTCCAGTGATAAAGGGAATATTCTGAGGCCATTGTAACACACAGAAAGCAATGTGAACCCACGGGCCACACCAAAGCCAGCCTTTGATAGGCCCAGGCTAGTTTGCTTTCATTTTATTTTACTTAGTTTTTTGTCCTTTCTCAGTTTGTCCCATTCCTGGTCAACAATAAATGATTGGACACAAAGGGGTGCATTTTTCTCTCTGAAACATTCATACTGGACAGATGTTGCAGTTCCAACTTCCACAAATAACATGAGAATACAAGAAGGTAAACTGTGGCTCATATTTACTCATTTGTCTTGTGTCTAAAATGATTTGGGTAGAAACGCACAAAAAATTAAAGTCCAAACTTTTCATTGCCCTTCTCATTGGCTAAGCCCTCTGGTTTTCAAAGTTTACAATTTTTCAAATGGTATTCCTCTGTATGCCACTGTATCCCAGATGGTATGGGTGGGAATTCTGGGCTAATCATTCAGGAAGGATGTGTCAGGCAAGGTGAATAGAGAGTCTTTAATTTATACTCAAGCACTGAAAAATCTCAAGAAGGAAGAGTTTCTCAAACTCACTTTATCATAAAACTCATTACCCATTTCCAATCCTCACTGTGGGACCCCAATTATTTTTTCACATTAGGATATTACGGTTGCACAGATCTTTCTTTTGAGATAGAGCTGCAGTGCTATGCCTTGCTATCTAAAGTTAAAATTTATTCATTTCCTCTAAACAAGGAAAACAGGATATCTGGTTTAATTTCCACCCTTCCCTCCACATTTCTCTATTTCTACCCCATCAAATGTGTCAGATTTGCAAAAAATTACTGCTGCACCTAGTATTTTCTTCATCATTTTGCAACATACACAAGTCATTTCTGAGCCCTCATCGCCAGCTGCAGGTTGAGGTTCAGCTGGCCGACGAGACTGCTCCTGTTGGCTCTGGGCCCATAGTAAGAACTCTCCTTTCCCCTTTCACCACCCCTTTCTTTTAATATCAAAAGGGACTTATAGACATCGTCCATCAACAGGCATAGGTGAGTTTTGACAGCTAATAATATCTACAGAGGACAAGACAGTTATAGGATAAAATGGATAGAAAGAAGGGCTAGAAAATGCCTTTTAGATTGTGTTTTTAAGTAAAGGTAGGTGGTATAGAGGGGAGCTCTACTGGCTGGGGACCAGGATTCCAGCACATACGCTGGAATCCAGCTGAGTGATGTTTGCCAAAGTGACAGCCCTCAGCTATTGAATGCCCATTAACTGCCAGGCAGCATACTAGTCACATTATCGAGTCATTAATTTTTTTTCAGTCATTATTTTTCAATTATCACCACAATCCATCAAGGCAGGTTGCTTTATACCTATTTTGTACATGAGGACCTACAAAGGTGCAGAGAAGAGAAGAAGCAAGCTCAAAGTCCTATAGCTAGAAAGCAGCTTAGCTGAAGTTTGAGTGTGGGATGGCTGGACTTCAAAGAGGACAGTTTTTTTTTGTTTTTTGTTTTTTCTCTGGTACCGGGAACCGAACTCACGACCTTGCGCTTGCCAGGCAGGCGCTTTGCCGCTGAGCTAAATCCCCAGCCCCTAAGAGGACAGTTTTTTATGCAGTGTCTCACTCAGTTTTTAAACTTTGAAAAAAAACTGATGTTCTATAGAAAATTTATTGGGCCGCAGTTGTCTTGTCTATAAAATGAACTGAAGAAATTGGAGTGGCTGGTTTGTAAAGGCTTAAAATCATATGGAAAATACTATATTTTTTATTAATGACAACAACAATCAGTACTTCTTGAACACTTACAATATGCTAGACACTATTCTAAGTGTTTTGTATATTGACTTTTGTCTTAGTTACTTTTCTCATTGTTGAGATGAAATAGCTGACACCCAAAATTAAAGGAGGAAAGGTTTATTTGGCTTACAGTTTGTGGAGGTTTCAGTTGATACTTGACTGGCTCCAAAGCAGGGTGGCATAGCAGAGGAGAAACAGTTCATGGTGGGTAACAGGTAACAAAGCAGTGAAGAAGTAAAGCAGCAGCAGCAGTCTGCCTCTCCCTTTTATCCCTTCCAGGATACCTGCCCTGTGGGTGGTTCCTCCTACCACCAGAGTGAGACTTTCCATTACCCAATCCAGAACTATGCCCAACCAATCAGTGGACTAATTCTGTAACCACACACTCTTAATACCAGCATCACACACTTAATCTCAGCACCACACATCCTAGATCCAGCCACCTCTGAAAAGCCCCACTGAAGACCACATTAAGCTTTGCGGGGGACATCTAGACATAAGCTATAACAACTATTTATATTTTTATAAAAATTTGATAAAGTGTACCTTATGAAAATCCCTAATTTATAGGTGAAGAAACCTGGGCAGCTGGAGAATTTAGAGGTGGCCAAGGACATTGGAAGTTCTTCCATAGCCAAGGTTCTTCTCCTCTCAATGGACTTCCAGGCTGTAAGTGGTGACCAAACTAGGGCAAAAGTGTATCTAAGCGGGGAGAGCTGGTTAGGATTCTGGTGTGCTCATGGACACTGAGATTGCACAGCTACACATTCCCCCAAACATGGTGAAACTACGTACATCCCCTGAGCTTGCTGATGGTTTTAAAGATATCCCCACAGAAACTTAACTTCAGTTTTAGGAATCCTAGAATTCCATTTTAAGGGTCTCCTAAGGTCTTCCAACTCCCCCGTTTCCTTCTCCTTTTTGTTTCCTGGGGGAAGCACATCAGAACTTAAAAAGTACTCCAAAAGAGCTTATATTCTATTCATGCAAAACTTCCAGATCTTTGTTGTTGCTGTTGCCAGCTAATGAAAGTAACACACATTGAGTGGTATTTTGGAAATATGTTACCATATGTAATCTTTTTCTAAAAAAAACTTTATTTTACTTGGGTGACTGGAGAAGTTATTCACTTCACTGCCTTGTACAGCAATAAACTGGGTTCCAATTAGAAGCACAACTTTGTGAAATATATTTTCTTAAGTGGGGGAAATTCCACTGATGACCCAGCACTGACTTTTCTGCTGATTCTAGTTAAAATTTTCAGTGTATATCTTAAATATCTGTTGGCCCAGTTCTGGATCCATTCATTTATTTCACTGAAGTTATTGATGACTTAATAACTTGGTTATGAAAGGCCATCAATAAATGAGTAGAAATAAATGAGTTAGTCTGGTGTGTGCTCTGCTTGTGCATTGGGGGTTGAAGATAAATGGGCAGAGGGAAGGCCAGCCTTTGCAGTCACCCTGGCACAGGGAAGGTATCTGGTGAGGCAGCAAAGACAGCCAGCCCCTGGGAGGTTCCAGGTGGGCAGAGGGCAGGAGGTGGAGTCAGTCTATCTGGATTATCTTGAAGTAGGGATCATCCCACACCTCAAGGACAATGGATGTGAACAGTCATCAGAAATAGAATCTGGAACTTGGTGGTATTTTTCTCCATCATCCTTAACAACACTTCCTCTCTCTCAAAGTATTCAGA